CCAAACCACATCTAAATATAAATATTAGATCAGAGAGTTAATAGAGGGTTTCAACATCTCTTATGGATCGACTCAATACATTTTGGTTAATTTTTTGGGTATGAAGTGTGCCAATGCCAGATTCGAATCAAAAAACTGATCTAACGAATGGTGCTCCGGAAATAAGCCGAAATTCCAAAAACTAACATTCGCTTAAGGCTCTGAAGGCTTTCCAAAGTGAGGCTTACATATAACAGATATATGGAAAATTGGATTAAGCGTTGGCGTGCTTAACTGGCTCAAGATCATATATTGGGGGCGTAATTAATATAATATATAAATCCCATATAAATATATGCAAAGTTCTTGAATTAGTTCGAGATAATAAATTGACTAATCTTTTTGAAAAAAATAGAATATATAAAATCTGATCAAATTTGACCCGGACGGGTTCATGTAAACCGCGCCCCCAAACCACATCTAAATATAAATATTAGATCAGAGAGTTAATAGAGGGTTTCAACATCTCTTATGGATCGACTCAATACATTTTGGTTAATTTTTTGGGTATGAAGTGTGCCAATGCCAGATTCGAATCAAAAAACTGATCTAACGAATGGTGCTCCGGAAATAAGCCGAAATTCCAAAAACTAACATTCGCTTAAGGCTCCGAAGGCTTTCCAAAGTGAAGCTTACATATAATAAATATATGGAAAATTGGATTAAGCGTTGGCGTGCTTGACTGGCTCAAGGTCATATTTTGGGGGCGATAATAAAGATTTTTCTTTTTGTCAGTTCGAGTTAAAATTGATGCGTTTAAATTTTTTATGTTGAAGTTTATAAAATTATTAGTATTATTACTTTTAATTTAACTGATTCTATGCCTCGTGTGGCAACCTAATATAAAAGAAAAAAGTTTAAAATAAGTTCACTTCTCAAATAGGGGTATAAAACTGTATTAGGTTATAGACTATAGCTTCATTAAAAAGGGCTCAAAATAATAACATATGTTACATAGTGCAGCTAACAGATATTACTACTCAACACTGACATAAATAATAGTGGTAAACAAAATGAAAACTTTTTATAAACTGTTTCTTACTAATTTGAGGTCGCTGATTTTAAGTTTCCTTGTAGCAGCTCTAGGTTTTGTGATACAGGTACTACCTGAAATATAGTTACTCGGCTTACTTGAATAATTTTTCAGGGCAAAACATTACTAAATTTCATAAAAACACCGCTATGTCTATATTAAGGAGAACTTGTTTAATCGGTGCTTTCGTGCTGTTGTGGTGACTATATGTTTCGGAAATGCCGCTTAAATGGATCTGATTCTATATAAAAGGCCTATTAGACTACTTTGGGAAGAATACATACAACATAATTGACTAATATGCGTCGATCTTAAAATGTTAATATTTCTTTTGGGTCAACAAGGTGGAT